GAGAGAGAGCGAGAGTGCGTGCGTGAGAGAGAGAGAGCGAGCGTGCGTGCGTGAGAGAGAGAGAGCGTGCGTGCGTGAGAGAGAGAGAGCGAGAGTGCGTGTGTGAGAGAGAGAGAGCGGAGAGAGAGCGAGCGTGCGTGTGTGTGTGTGAGAGAGAGCGAGCGTGCGAGTGTGAGAGAGAGCGAGCGTGTGTGTGAGGGAGAGCGAGCGTGTGTGTGAGAGAGAGCGTGTGTGTGAGAGAGAGCGTGTGTGTGAGAGAGAGCGTGTGTGTGAGAGAGTGAGAGCGAGCGTACGTGTGTGAGAGAGAGTGTGTGTGAGAGTGTGTGTGTGTGTGTGTGTATATATAGTGCACAGCATAAATGAGTACACCCCTTCTGAATAAATATAAAAGTTGTATTTTCTTAATGATCACTAATATAATTCATGGAAAGATGGCAAAATCTAAACATTAAACATATACTTCATAAAAACAACAAAATATATGCCAATATTTTCTGTAACATAAGTAAATTAGCCAATTTTGTTTAAATGAAGGATTGCAGAAATGAGTACACCCTAGATTTAATTCAGAAAATGTATAATATTCTAGTACTTAGTATGTCCTCCAGAACTTAAAGTACACTGCTCTGACTCTTCTTGGCGCTGAGTGTACAAGTTCATGACACATGTTCACATCTGTACTGTTTAACTCCTGGAGCACGAGCTTAAATGCTCTAGTCTTTAATGGGGAGTGTTGCTCAGCTCGTCTCTACAGAATCTCTCACAGCTGCTCAAGAGTGTTAAGATTGAGTGAAACACATGTCCACTGAAGGATTTTCACCTTGGGAGAATGAATATCTTAATTGTCATGCTGAAAAAAAGCCCAATAATGCATGGAATGAGGGGAGGGTAGCATCTTCAGTTTGAGGTTTTTGTATTACATCACACAGTGGTGTGTGAACTCATGCCAGCGTTGATAAAGCACAACTCCCTCACACCTTCAGCTCTCATACATCCCTATAGAAGAGCTGTACTACCACTGAACGCCACTGTGGGTACCAGGCACTTCTCTCTGTACTCCTCCTCTAGCAACACCAGAACATGTTGGATGCTGTTAGATCCGAAATGATTGACTTGGTCTCTTGAGACCAGAGAATGGATTCCCAGAAGTCTCTATTTTGTAAATATGGGCTCTGGAAGAGGTTAAATTAGTTCATTGTGCTTTGGTTACAGTAGGCAGTTCTAGTGGTGACAACAACCATGCATGCACTCCTGCAGGCTGCGGCATACTCTGAGAGATAAAGTGTCACTCTTTCCACAGCTTTTGCCGGCTCTGAGACACTTGCATGTTATTTCTCCGGCTCTTTTTCTAGCGAAAACTAGATGAAAACTTAAAGTTGAAGACCTGATTATTTCAGGAGCCTTATCACAAGTTAGGGCTGGACGATATGGGCAAAATTTATATCACGATATATTTCTTAATTTCGGTCGATAAGATATAATTCCGATATCGATATGAACACTATTAAAAAAGCCTCATAAAAACAGCCAAGAACGGCCACAACAGATGTCTGTACCTACAAACTTATGAAAAATTGATTTGCCAACTCTATGAAACCTACTCCTATAAAACTATATAATATTTTAAGAAAAAAATGGCGCAAATAAATAAATGTTCACCTTTTATTGGTATTTAGCCTTCATACAAACAAGAAATGTGAAATCACTGTCAAATAAATCTCAGACTCTCCTTATTAATATTCATATAGTGGCAAAAGAGGAATTATTCTGAAAAAATAAAGACTAAATTCTCTTCCAGTGACTCTGCATCAGAGTGGAAAAGTCTAAAAGAAATCACCAACTACAAGTCACCATCCCCCAGCACTGTGGAGAAATCAACACCTGGCAGACGATCTGAACAGTTTCTACTGCAGTTTGGAAAAGACCCCCACACCCGCCCTGAACACCCC